GAGTTGGCGCGTCCGGAAATTTGGTGGTGGTTGCTCTTGGATGGGATGGACTCCGGTTCTCGCTCGCCAATGCCAAGGCAGGCACAAGTCACTTGTCCGTGACGGTAGCCTCATCCAAATGTCCCTCGCACCTAGGAGAGGGCCCACCGAAACCCGCAAACGCCACCGTGGCACCGGCTCCCACGGCAGGGGAAACTCGTGCACGGATCCGCAGCAGGGTACACCTCTTCTTCACTGCGGTGTCCTGCTCCCGGTGCAGTTGGTGTTCTATTTACCCAGGCTCCTGACCGACGAGCCTGATGCAGCTTCTCTCCTACAGCTCGTAAAGGTCGCGCCAGTCGAGCACAATGGCTTGCGGTTTGTGGAGATTAGAGTCAAGGCGGTGCCAGCCTCTCTTGTAAGCCAGCTCCAAATTGCGATTGCTGCCCGCATGATGGAAGACTTCCATCGTGGACTTCTTCCAGCTGCAGGGTCCAAGTTCTAATCCACCGCTTGGTGGCACAAGAGTCCAATCAGGATGCTATGCCTGACGGTAGCCGTCCACGGTACCGGCTTGGCCACTCTTGAGGACAGGACAGCTGGCGAGCAGCGGCTCAGGCTTTCATGGAGCAGAGTGGCATTAGCCCGGGCATTCAGCTTCCATTCATTACCGAGGAGCTCATACCGCATCTTCATGAGTCTGACACAGGCACGCTCCAGTATGGTTTTACCGTCTCAAGATCTTGTATACTGAAGGCCAGTATCAACTGCTGTACCTCCTGCGGGAATCTCATTTTCCGACCAGTGGCAGCGACATGCAGCGCCTGCTGGATCAATGGCCTTCTTCGACTTCGGAGCGTGCCCGTTAAGGAAGCTGGGCCCAATCAGTCAATTACACACCACTGTCCATGACATTCGACATACGTCGAAGGGTCTTTTTTCCTGGCACCCGCCACTGGTTGTCGGCTCCGTGGACTTGTGGATTTTCCGTGCACGATCGTGACACAACAAGACCTCGGGGCTGTCCGTTGTTGGACGGAACTAGAACGGCGGCCGGAGCTTTGATTTGGACTCCACCGATGGTCTTGGACAGCTCTGGGCGACGGCCCACGGTTGTTCTGGATCGGTCGCTGAGGCACCGTAGCTTGTGCTGAACGGCCAACACCGGCAAAGCCTGTGCGCCGCAGCTAGCTGTCGACCTTTGTTAATTAGCCGCCATGTTTCACCGCTGTTTTCGTTTGTTTGTTGGTTTGTTTGTTTGTTTGTTTGTAGGGACCGAGTGCTACAGCTGTAGTCGACGAGGTCCGCTCAAGCCAAAAAAAAAGTGTTCCCCAATTTTTTTTGTGTCTATACAGCAGAGCATGCGGGGAAGTTTTTCCAAAAGTCGTGCCCACAATGCCCAAACGGCTAGTAAATGCATTTTTTTGCAGAACCGTGTAGACAGAGCCCTCAGATGAAGGGAGGTTCTGCGCCATGGGCGTGGTCATTGTCAGCAAGCCGGTTCGTGCTGTTTAACCTGGAAGACATGAGAAATCGTTGAGTTTGTTAAAGTTTTTGCGACTGTCAGACATCGCCAATAGCCGATGCAGCACAACAAGTAAAGCACCCGTGTTGGTCCGCAAAGGAGTTCTACGTCCACGAGGGCAGACTAGATTCTAGATGCAATGGAACGTGAGCAATGCAGAGTGCCCGCTGGACTCCACTTGTTGTCTGCTGTTACCTCAGCTGGAGTCGCTGCGGGGCCCACTTTTTACTTGCACATGCTGACAAAGTCCGCACGTCAGCATGTACGTCACCTCGTTCGTTTTTCACCGCCGTTTTTCGTGTGTTTGTGATTTCTGGGACCGAGCGCTGCAGCTGACGAGGCCCGCTGATGCCAAAAATGAAAATTTCAAAATTTTGTGATGGCGTTTTTTGATTCATTTTTTATTTTTATTTTCTTTACAAAAACTTTTTCTGTGATTTCGTGGTTTCTTCTGCTTTTGTGTTTGGAGTGCGTTTTGTTTTTTACTTTTTTTTGATTTGAAAATTTCAATGTTTGTGGGTTGCGTCTTTTTTCATTGATGCTTTTTTTGTCATTTTATTTTCTTCGCAAACCCCATAAAGCGATTTCGTGAGCTTCTTCTTTTTCTGTTTTTTTGTGTTTTGCGATTGCGTTGGTTTCATTTGTTCTTCTTTTCTCATTTTAATTTCTTCGCAAAAGCCACCGTAAAGCGACTTTGTGTGGCTTCTTCTTCATTATATTTTGTTCGCAAAAACGCCATAAAGCGATTTCGTGTGGATTCTTTCTTTTGTATTCGTGATTCTGTTTTGTTTGAGTTTGTGGTTCTTTTCATTTGTGATTGTGTTTTGTTGCATTGATTCTTTTTTTCTCATTCTATTTTCTTCGCAAAACCACCCATAAAAACGATTTCGTATTTGAGTTTCTTTTTCTTGGGGTGGAAGTTCGAAATTACAGTTGACCCTGGCCCTTTAACGCTAGCCTTACCCTCACGCAGTCACCCAGTGGTTTCGGCCCCAGCTCCGGAATGCCGGGTTGGGGCTGGGGTTGACCCGAACCTGGAACTGTGGGGTTAGGGTTGGGGTTGAACCCCAACCCCAAGCCCGGGCTCTGGGGTTGGGGTTAGGGTCAGCCCCAACCCCAACCCTAACTTCTGGTTCGAGGTTGGGGTTTTCCCGAACCCCAAACCCAGGTGTGTGGGGTTGGGTTGAGGTTGAACCCCAACCCCAACCCCGGAACCCGGGGTTGGGGTTGGGGTAAACCCGAACCCCAGGTCCTGGGGTTGGGGTTGGGGTTCACCCCAACCCCAATTTGCGGTTGCGGTGGGGTTCAACCCAACCCTAACCTCAGGTTAGGGTTGGGTTGAACCCTGGGAACGTGAGGTTCAGGTTGTTGGCCCCACCCCTTCCTCGGCGAGCCCCGGGGTTGGAACAATGTTCAACCCCAAGCCCCAACCCACCCCTTGCGTAGTATGCTCTCTGATGGTCGGTTGACAATCCTACGCGCATGCTTGATTCTCAGCTAAAATATGTGTACTGAGGCTAAATTACGTAGAATGATCTTCATTCTTGTTATCAGTTTGTCATCGGCGTTTTGACATTTGTGTCATGGCTCCGTCACATGACAACACCATGACCAATGTCGCGATCATCACCAAGTCACCAATATCATGCATTTTATCATCATTTGCTTTGCGAAGGTGGGTGATGGAGATCGGTATGGGGATGATGATGACGATGATGTTGATGTTGATGTTGATGTTGAGGATAGTGATGATGACAACGGCAGGCCATGAGGATGCATTGATGATTTGGGGCATTGTTATGCTTGGTTGCATTCTGTACTGCCAGTGTTTTTGGTGTACACCTCGGGTGGGAGTGGAACAACGATGAGCTTTTGAATTTCGTTACGTTTGTTCAAGTCGATGACATGCTTGGTTTGTTTTTTTATGTCGCCATTGCAGGGCGAGTTTTTCTGTTGGCCGTACAATTCCTGTGCCGCAACTTGGGAAACAACTGCGACTATGGTGGTTCCAAACGGTTCGCAGGCTTCATGCCGGGATCCGTGATCGACGACAAAAACATTTGCAAGCCAGAAGCAAGGTTGCTCTTCGTTAAATGGAGGCCACAGCAATCGGAAGTCTGTTGTTCGAGTTGTGGCGGGATTGCTGTTTGAAGCGGACATGCCGTGACCAAGACTTGGAAAACAACAGCGGCAGGCAGACTTTGTTTTTTTCTTCCTGCTGAGTTTGTGCCTTTACCCTGATTCAGGTTTTTTTCTGGGTCGCAGAAGTTTTTGCGGGTGCAAGTTCGATTGCGCTGCTTCTTGTATCCTGGAAGCCAAAAGCCGGCGCATTGCCGTGTTTTGCTGCGAAGAGTTTTTTTGATGCTGAGATGGACGAATTGAAGAACGTTGAGCCGTGTGTGAATGTTCGTTTTACGTCAATCTTGAGGCATTTTGCCGGGTCGTGCACAGGTCCAACTCCATTTTCATGTCTTGCCCTAGGGCCCCCTAGGGACACAACCCTTCATTCCCCGCAATTGAGGACTTGATCATTGGATGGTTTGCTTCATCGCTTGGCAAGCCAGTTTGCGAGGGCTCTGGACCAAGTTGTACTGGGTGCCGCTTGTGTTTTTCTGATTTTGTGGTAGTGATTTCTCAATAAGATGTGTCGAGCAGAGAAGAAGGACCGAGACAACTCATTGTTTCTCTGGCCTTCGGGCCACTTTTTCAGTTTCTTCAGCCCAACAAGCGGACGACAGGCTCGGTGGCCGGTCGTTTTTTGTTGGTTCGGGTGTTGTCAAGCAGCCTCCAGCGTGAAGGCCGCTACCTGCTACAGCATTCACAAGATTGAAACTGTTCGCACTCAGAATGTGCTGCTTGAATGGTCTGACATTTCGCCAAACAAGAAAACGCCGTTTCGCAAGAGATCAGTTGGTGTTAATTGTGCCAGGCACTCCCTCCATTGGTAGAGTTTGAGCACGTAACCGCCATGGTTTTCACCCTTCATCCGTGTTTGAGTGTTTGGACTCTCCTGTGCTCATGCTCAGCACAGAAAGTAGGTTCGGTGTCAACAGACAACAGAGAGTCGCGTTCGGCATGGCCGAGTGTTGCACAGCTTTCGGATGTGGGTTTGTATGGCATCCGACGGACAATGCACCATTTGATTAGGTCGTGCAGAGTTAGATCCCAAACTCATACATGCATGCGTGCCTGCCTGCATGCACACATACATGCATACATACATACATGCATTGCGAATGCAAGAACGGAGTTCTGTGTGGTTTCTTGGATTGACATAACCATGGGCCTCGAAATGCATCCAAAACATGCCGCTTTGTTGCTCAATCCCCAGGGCTGGTGGGGTTGCAAAAGCACATCCCTCCACCAGCACCTGCTTCCTTTCGGTAGTGAGCGTCTGCAGCCTACTTATGGGTGATGTGTGTGCGTGCTTTTGCCACATAAATCGGCTCCGGCCCGGCGGGCTGGACCATTGGAGTGTGAAGGGCGGGAGCTCAGGATGCTTCGCCTAGCGAATTTCTGGGCCCCAGCACTGCTGGGGCTATGGGTCGTTTCGGCGACTCAGGCTGCCTGGTCGTCACTGTAGTCGCACCATGTCTCAACTGTCCGATTTTGTTATTGTGCTGGCGATGGTTGGAAGCTTGCTGGATTTGGCAGACTTCCGTGTCCGTCGCGCTGCACAAGCGAGTTGCGACAGTTGCGACAGTGAGGAAGCATGCGGAGGCTTTGACAATCATGACCAAGTTCCGTCCATGCAAGATGTGTGAAAAGTGACAGGGTTGAGAGCTTGCAGGCAAGCAAGAGCAGCGTGCAGCACAAGATGGCATACTTTGGCACCATACAGGTGCGGGTATTCACTAATGCTTCAACGTTTGCTTGCCATCTCTTCTTGGCAGGTCGGAAACCCTCCACAGGCGGGATCTGCCTCTCTTTCTTTGCGTGTGCGTGTGTATGGAGCCTTGTTCAGCGTGATGAGTAGCTGAGTAACAAGTCTTTTTGCCAGGAGTTTTCAGTTGTTTTTGACACTGGGAGCGGAAATCTCATAGTGCTGGCCTTAGATGGGCCGATGGTCTGCCTGTCTGCCTCTTCCCTCCTGTTGATGCAAAGTGGGTCACCATGAGGTTCCTGGCAGTGATTGCTCCAGCGATGCCGCGATCTTCTGTTCGATTCGTGTCGTGCAGTTGGTGTCATCACATTCATGTAAGGCCTGCACTAGCCATCGACGGTTCGATCATAGGCCAGGTCGCATTTGCCAGCCTTGGTCTTGGCAGTGCGAGTTTGTTAATTATGTGTTTCGTGTCGCAGGAAGAGCGATGGAGCCTAGTCCTTAGTACTTCACACCACATGTATGTCGGTCCGGAACTTTCGTCTTTCATGTACTCGTATGCCCTGAGATCAATGCAATCAATTGCGATGGCAGCAACGTCTCTCACGGGATGTTGGCGGACCGCTGCATACTCCTACAAAGCAAACACGCCTTGCATGCTTGCACAATCTGTTAAGCATTCTGGTCGATTGACCTTTGGGAACGGCTTGCACGGCTGTGCACTGTACAAACCGTCACTGTTGTTCGCTGCACTGGTTGAGGACGAAATTACCATTACATTCGGCACCGGAAAGATTACTGGACAGTGCTTCACGGACTCCATCTGTGCCACTCGGATGCAGCGAGAAACGTTTTGGATCGAGGCAGTTCGTGACCGCAGATGTGCAAAGTCCGTGCTCGCAGCATGCAGCCGGTTTCTGCCTGGAATTTTTCGAGACCAGGTTGGGGCCGCATGCTCCAAAGGAAACTTCATCTCGTCGCTTGCCGAGACCTCAGTTACACGATAGCACCAGCAAGTCACGAGCATCACATGTTTGCATCAGGACGAGAGTTACACGCCTTTTGCTACCTTCTCCTTCGATGGGGTGCTTGGCCTCGCACTGGACTCAATGGCACAGGCCGGCTGAAAGCAACAGAGCGTCCCGGCTTGAACAGTCTCCGACCTTCGAGCTTGTGTTACTCTGCCAGTCCAACGAGTTCAGCGTCATGAGCCGCTTCCATGGCGCAGGTGTGCTAGCGCCCGAGCCCCAAGAGCACACTTCAAGAGATTCCCTCTCACTATGTTTTGCTGTCCGTTCTCTGTCCTCGCCCTCGCCTGCCCTGGCGCTTCTGCTGTCTCCTGTGGTTTGTCTCCGAGTCACCTCGCCTCGCCTCTCTCCTCTTCCATCTCTGTTCCTCTCCCTTGCCGCTGGCTATCTCTGACTCACTCCCCCATTCACCATGCGATCCACTCACGAACTCACGGACGGACTCGCCTCTGAGCGCGCTTTCTTCCTCGCTGGCTCACTAGCTCTCTCACACTCCGCCTTGGCTTGGTTTCTAGCAGTCTTCAGAGATGTTCAGCCCTGAGCTGTGCTGCTGTGCAACACTTTGGTGCTTGGCGCCGCCTCTGACTGATACTCAGGCAGCCCCTTTTCTCTGTATTTCTGTCAGACTCCGATGAAGAGAAGTCTGAGATCACCTTTGGAGCTATCAAAGAGGAAGCGCAAGCTGTTGCAAAGGTTAGTTTTCAAGCATCGTACTCCGACGTGATCAGGAGCACATGGCGTCAGAGCTGTACTGGGTGAATGTCGTCGGGGATGCAGGCTATTGGCAGGCAGGAACTAGACCTGAGCATTGTGACACGGTTGTACGATCTGATTGTTTCATCCGTGCAGGTTGAGATCCAGGATATCTACCTCGGAGACAAAGCTCAGCCTCCATGCTGATTAGCTTACTGATTCGATCGAGTGTGGCAGCTTGCAGCTTGGACTCAGGAAGCTTTGTCAGGGTTGCCGAGTGGCAGTGGACACGGGCACCTCCGAACTTGCAGGCTCGCGGGACTGCCTTCAAGTACCCCGACATACCATTCAGACTTGAGAGGAAGCAGGTTCGGACTCATGAAGTGCAGCGAGTTGTGGATAGTGACAGCAGGTCCATCAGACATCATTGCCCGGCTGGAGGGGCTACTTGGCTGCTTCGGTCCCTTGCATCAGCATGGGAACGCACCCGTCACCCGGGCGCAACCACCGATCTGCGACATGCAGAGAAAAACGGACACTCATAGACAAACAACAACTCTCGCAGAGAGAAACAAAGGTCGCAGACCTCTTATAGAGACGCACACACACAAAATCCACAAATGCCCGCACATAACGTACACATATGCACACCAGTATGAACGAATTGTCGCTGTCTGCACTTATGCCAAACTGAACGGGTTGCATCCCAAATCTAAGCTGCTTGCAAGCCTCTTTTGAAAGGCTTCTGGGTTCGGGACATGACTGCTCCAACCTAGCAGAGACCTCAGTTTGTGAAGCAATGTGAATAAAAGGAAAGTATGCGATATGTTGCGAAGATGAGGAGAAGGAGGCTTTGATTCGATGGTGTTCCGAGGATTCCTTGCCGCACCTGGGCTTCGCTGTCCGCCGTGCTGGCATGACTTCCCCGTTTCTGTCTTTAGTGGTGATTTGCAGTTCCGGGCTGTCAGGTGGTCCCAACGGCAAGCCCAAAATTCTTAGCTTATCGCCGAAGGACTACACATCCGAGGCCTGTATTTGTGATGAAGTTCTAGCCGCAAATGCTCAAGTTGCTATTCCATTCCTCACGTTGGTGCAAGCACCTCGCAGCATGCAGGGATCCTTCGGTGGCTGCAACCTGTCATTGATGAACTTGGACGTTCCTCCACCCAAGGCAACACATGCGGGTCATGTGAGGAGCCATCTTACCAGAAGCTTTGCTCTGCGGAACTTGCAGGGGCCACTCTTCGTGTTCGGCATCCCCTTTCTTCAGTGGCCCGGACGAAAACCATCTTGCCCACTGATAGGTATGGATCTCATGAGCTCCTGTTCCGAGGAAATACTTTACCGTGTACGATCACGAAAATAGCCGTGTGTGGAGCCTGGTATCTTCAACGGACAGGGACACTGTGGAAGCTTCGCCTTGTTCCAGTGATGAGTGGGAGGGACTGTTGGCAGCCCGTGTGACAGGCCACAGTAAAACATCAACCAAATAGCTATGCAATAGATGGGTTTCTGGTTTCGCTACATTTCTGCTTTTGACATGTTCTGAGAACAACTGCCCCACTGTAGCTGCGTGCTCGAGTCTGGGCTGTTCTCTCCTTGGCGATGGGAGCCTCTCGCAACTTGGCATCCTCACGGGTTGCAGGTCATCTGCACAAAGATATACCGTTACGTGGCTTCTGCAGGCTACGAGGGCTCCCCGCAATCCTTGACGCTGGCCTGGACGGAGGATTCGTGTGAGGACCAGTTGTCGTACTGCTGCCTGTGACGCCTGCGACGCGACGGTGTCCTGCTCGACAGGAATCCTTGGGGTCGATTTCGAGAGGATGCCAGTCCTTGCCGAATGGCTTGGCACTCGGCTCACGCGGAAGCTGTAGCCTCCCATGAATCTACTGACCTACAACTCAGACAGGCGGCTTTGGTGAGATCTCGGCACCACTCCTCGAGCACGGGGAGTCGGAGGGCACACAGCCAAGCAAGGTCTCGGCACCCGCTGCTGGTCCGCAGAGTGCAGAGAGGAGCGGAGAGCGGTTCTGAGCCCAAGGGTCCTTACCGTGAGGCCATGACCTTGAACTTGATCAATGCGAGCTCCTTGCCAAGCAGTGATGAAGCACCTAGCATCTACAAGCAACAGCTTTCTCTCCCCGGAGGTTTGGGTTCCGGATTGCTCAGTCTTCCTTGGGCAGCTGCTGGATCATCGCTTCTTGTAGCAGCAGGAGCAGATTGCCCCCCGAATGTAGACGGCACATTGCTGAGCCTGTCCGTGACACAACAGGTGTCACTCTTCTTGTCTTGGTCTTGAATGCCGTGACGAACATCATCCTCGTGGCTGCCGCCGAATCTTGTCGAGCTACTGATGTAACCAACTCGTAATAACATTGGAACCGGGATAACCGGGCATCTGCCCCAGGAGCGCCAGCACGTCTTTGACTTGGGCGGCTTGATGGGACGTCTTCCTGGCAAGTGGGCTCGACTGCTTCGTTGGGCGGCTTAGCCGAGATCCTAATGTTTCCTATGCGATCACACGTCGATGTGGATGTGCACCCACGAGGCGTTTGATTGCAGCATTTGGTGCTCTGTTGGCCTGGCCTTGCTGGGTTTCTTGGTGATGACTCGGCCGTTGCTCAGCCTTCCGCCTTCAGCTGGTGCGCACGTCCAAGCTTGCTTTGACTTGAGGCTACTTTGTGGTGATCGCTGATGCTTTTGATCCCGTTGCCGAGTTAGCTGGCTTGCCGTCAACGGTCAAAAAAAAGGCATCTGTCTTCGTGGGAATGCTACTCGTGCCTCGTCGCCCTATGGAAAACTGGGGTCAATCGTCCCTTCCATGCAAAAGTCTGCAACAAGCATGCGTTGCACAGGTCATCCCACTTTGTTTGATGGATCCAGAGTATCTCGCTTTCAGCTCCACGCTGAGTGTGGCCGCATCCTGTTCGCATTCTCAGGACCGGCTGCAGGATTCTCATCATGGGTCTCAGCGTATTGTTAAGTCGGTTGCTTTACGCTTGACTCCCGATCCCAGGCCAATGTCTATCTGGTTCTCCTGATCACCTCCATCTTCACGTTCCAGCCTCTTGGCAAATCAACGACTGCGCCTGACAATTGCCACGATATCAGCATCTTCATGCGAAGCCAGACCATACACGAAGACCTGCCAATTCGTTAATTGAAAAGAGTTCTTCACGGATGGGATCGTACACCAGATTCTCGCTGGTTAGTTTGGGCGGCTGCAAGGCTGGTGTGCCATGGAACAGCTTGTCATGGTAGGTCGCACCTTGCAGAGTCGAAGGTCGGAAGTGACGTCGCACCACTCCTTTTGTTGGCTCGGTGCTGGCACTTTGGCAGCAAGAAAGGAAAGACTAAGAGGCTAAGGCTTATCCTGGCCGACAAGCCGTTTCTTGCAAGGTCCCGGTATCATCACGATGGGCAGTGCATTGATGCAGTCCATGATCTTCCAGCTTCTTGGTCGAAGTGAAGTGGTGTAAGACGGGCTGGTAAGGCCCCGTGGTGGAACCCGCCGGATCCTAAGGATGTGTACCATGCCAATGTACGAGGTGCTGGAAGACCGCAGCGTCCGGAGATTCAGTATCTGCTTGGCTATTAGCTTCTTGGTGTCGATGGGTGCAAGCATGATGCAAAATATGCAAGCATGCTTAAGCTCGAGCTTCACAAATTGTCAGGCTTTGCCTTTGTCTTTTTCCTCTTTACCACGCTCTGCCTTATGGGATTGAGTTTGTACGGTGATGGAGTTTCGTCGAACATTCTGTCGCTTGTCTGACATGACCACTGCTGTATGCTGTGCAGCTTCCGAAACCCTGTCCTCCGTGTCTTCTCGGTCGCAATGATCTAAGGAACAATCTTCCTCCGGATGTGCTGCTCAGACTGATGGCAGTTCAAGTCACAAGTGACGAGAACAGTTGTCTCCAAGAGCCGCTTAGACACCTCATCAGGTCTGGAGACGTTGCCCGAGTAGGCGTTGGCTTGTCCGTGATCGCCATCTACCCGATCTATCTCGAGTCAATGGTGGCGCCTTTGCGTCACGCTGAGGTGACCGAGAGCACTTACTTTACTTCGGAGTCTTCGTGTGGTTCGTTCCAAGCCAGGAGCGCGCCTGGCGCCATCGGCAGCCCTTGATGCTTCCATCCCCACGGGATTCGGTGGTGTTTGATGATGCTGTGCCCAGAGGTGCAGGGAGCACAGAAAAACATCTGCCATGGAACATTCGCAGTGGACAGCGCTTGTATTCGCGCTGGCAGGCACTTCCGGCGATCTGGAAGCCGAGCCCTCCCGCAGCTCCACCTCCTGGACAGAGCTGCACAAAGTGGCAATCATGAGGCATGTAGGAGGTGTGGACCCGCGAGAACCGTCGAGGGCCGTGGAGTGTGTAAAGCCGTGGCCTCCAGGATGTCAGATCGGCTCCTCAAGGTTCGAGTGAAGGCTCCTTTCTTTCGGGCCCTTTGCCTGTGATGCTGTTCTTCTTGGTCACCACCGGTTGGAGAAGAGAGGTCTTCCAGCTCCATGCGAAGCTTCCAATGCGGCCATCGCATTTCGCCGCCGTGGCCATCATCTTGGGGTCTGCGGCTGGAGGCATGGGAGCTGCAAAGGGTGTGAATGAGAGCTGGATTTGATCAGGCAGTAGTGAGCCCATTGAGGATTTAGTCAGATAGTCCTTGTTTCAGGCTGTGTGGTCACTCACCTGGGCTGCTTGGATGCTATGTCGTGGTAGGCTGACGCCGATTTACAACAGTTTCACGAACCAGATCGGCATGGAGGTGTCCTTATAGAATGCCAGACTGCTGCCAGCCTGTCAAGGACTTTGCAATATCCTGAACGGAGCCAGTCAGGTGCGGGAGCATTCCGGGAGTGCGGGAGCACCGTAGCCGTAGCGCTCGGCTCTCACATGTGCGTGCAAAGAACAGGTTGCGGCCATGGTCGGCTGGGCACCAGGATTTGCAGGACTCTTCCTGCTCGGCTGGGACCAGAGGCTCAGCCGATGTGGACACTGGTCACGGAAAGCTTGTGTTCTGAATGCGCTATGCTCCGAAACTCACGGACAGGTGCTGGCAGCTTTTGATGGTTCTGCTGATCGTCTTTTCAAGCATGATGTCCGGGGTCCTATCAGGGTCAAACAAGAAAGCTTCAATGTCAGCTTGGCAGGGCACATGTCGTGTGAAGAGTCTGAAGCTGGAAGAGAGGTCGATGGTGGGGATGATGCATGTGGGCTGCAATAAAAGGGGGACATATCGTGCTGTTGCACGGGTGTCACGCACAGATGTGGAGAGAGGTGTTGTTTTTCCTGCAGACAGCCTGAGGTACAGAGACAACTTTGTCAACTCACTGAACTGCATGTGGGAATCAAGCTGAGCACTGTCAGCCGCGATGCGCGGCAGTTCCATGCTCTCCCAGAGGTCCGTCAGGTTTAGTTGCTCGCGCAGACATCTTCGTTGAGTCTCATACGAAGACACAGGAAGCAATCCATGTTCAAGAAGTTGTCAAGGTTCTACAGCTTGATACTTGCAGTTCATTAACGCCGGAAACCTAAAAGCAGACTACAAGTCTCAGTTCGTGTAATCGGAGCAGAGAGCACAAACCTTACGAAGTTCAACCAGTGATTTTGCTGCTCGCATGCAAGCGAGAGACACGCCAAAGGAAGCGTGCGAGAGGCCGCCTGAAAGCAAAGGCTTTTTGCGGCGGATGCATGAGAGAGTGCTCTCTCAAGCATAGGTGTTCCAGACATCTTGTTGTGTCATGGCATGCCGAACTCCCCTCCAAAGTTTACAGCTTCGGAATCGTTTGCGACGGTCGAATCTCGTTGACTAAGAACAGAATTCTCGAAAGGATTCCTGCAATGCAATCGCATTCGAGATCCGAGAGGGGCATACTCGCCGGCAGAAAAGCCGAGACTGAAACAGTAAAGGTAGCCTGCTGGACCATCTCACTTGTTGAGTTCATGCCACGTCCACTGTCTTAACCCTGCCCAAGACTTGGCAAAGATACTCTTCGGACCAGGTCGGATTTGCGGTTGCCCAGCATAAGGGCGAGAAAGCGGAGATGCTGCTGGAGGCAGTCTTTTGCGTGAGACGAAGCGCACCATGCGAGCATGACTGCCTTCTGTCAGAGGGTAAACTGCTTCTATTCTCTCGATGCGTTCGAGAAGTCCCGTTGTGAAGGTCTCCGAGTCCACGGAGGCGGAGCAAGGACACCTGACCTCCTGCTCTTGCAAGTGCCGTCAGCCAGGGGAGGGAGAGCTGGCCGGGCCGGCTGGCTGCCGCCGCAGGAGCTGCGAGCCGACAATCCTTCCTCTCACGCGTGCGGAGGTGATCTGATGTCAGAGCCTTAGTTCGATTCTTCCACTGTCGAAGGAAGGTTCTTCTCAAGTTGTGGCTGGTTCCAAGGTCTGTGCCGAGTTCCCAAGGCGCAGACCGCTGTAGATCAGATATTGAGGCATGTTTTGTTTCAAATCGGGGCCCGGGAGGCCGGGAGGTGTTCAGGTTCTAAGAGCCCCTCAAGCAAGGGATCTTCTCGGGACTCTCCAGGACCGGGCCGACATTTCACGACGGTACGCCTGACGCTGGCCGATCAGTCGCGGACCTGTGCAGCTGGCCAGCTGAAGCTGTTTTGCTCTCGTTCCCTCGTCAGCGTTCAGATATCTCTTCGGTTCCCCTTATGCCTAGTTTATGCCTTACGTGTCTGCAAAGCCTGTTTAAGGTTTGCCTTGAATACCTTCGGCGTGCTTCTGTGCTTTCACCTCACTCATGGAGCAATCCGAGCAGAGCAAAAGACGCGATGAAAACGTCGCCAGCACGAGCCCGTGCCCGAGGTGCCTCTTCCTGTATCCCTCTCCCTTCTGTCTGACCCTCTTGCAAGCGAGGCCGGTAAGATGTAAGGACTCACACAGGCTCATCTGTTGCAAGGCACAGTTGAAGCCTGCCTTTACACTGCACGGTTGGGCTGAACTCTCAGCGTGTGCACCGGGCTGGTATTCGGGCTACGTTCAGAGATCTTGTCGTTATCTTCCGCTGTGTGGCTCGCCATTTGCGACGGAGTGCGAAGTGATAGGAGGCATCCTAGAGACTCTGGCATCAGACTTCAACTACAAGCGCAGTGAGGAGACAGACTCAAAATCACAAGAAGAAGTCCTCTAGAAGACCTGGCCATGGTGCTTGGTTCCAGCTGAACGTAGCCTCTAAGAGGCCCGGGGGTTGGCCGGGCTTCGCGTAGACGACGAGCTCCCTCTGGGAGCACTGAAGGTCGCAGCTCGGAGCCATGTTTTCCTGCCTTTGCAGCGATGCCCGTGGCCAAGAGTGCTCAGAGCCTTCAAGGCTAGGCTGACACGACGGACTAAGCCTAAGCCCCCTTCGTAGGCAGATGCAGATGAGTTCGAGACGAAGATGGAGGGTCATGTGACTGGCTTACTGTACTGGTAGTTCCTTTCAACACCGGGGGGAGGGGTTTCGAGTCACGTGAAGCCGAGGCTCCGCCTGCAGCCGCAGGAGATCAATATTCTGTCGGACATATGTTTTATGGGCATTGTCAACTCGGACATCTCTGGAAGGAGCGGTGAACGTTCCGCATAGCTTCACAGCTACAGCCGTGTGCCCGGATATCTCTGAATCTCTATAAGATAGTTGCCACGACAAATCGACTTAGGTCCACGACGGGAACAAGAACGCGTACACAGTTTCCTTTGACAAGCCTGCCGGCTTGAATGGCATCCGATTCAATCACGTGTCTTTGCCGCAAGTCATCCAGGGCTTAGGGCTTGCCGTCAGGGTGTGGCAACAGGAGCCTTTTGTCACACAGATACGCGGAGTTGATGTGACACCTATGGCCTTACCAGTAGCTCTATGTAAAGTCTACTTGATTTGCGTTCTCCAAGTTGCAGAAGCGAGCTTGCTGACGTGTAAGGTGGACGGCTTGCTGGTTGTCGAAGACGTTGGTTCTGACACAATCTCGCAGTGGAACAATACGCAAGCCACTGAAGCCACCGCCGAAGCCCTAGATCAAATTCTTTCCAAGTATGGCAATACCTGCCTCGATATCTCCAATCAGGTAATCCAGCCCATGGATCGCGTTGTGAACATCAATGATGAGACAGGTTCCGCTCAGGAAGCCGATTCAATTGTCCGTGTGTTGTCGCTCCAAATGTCTCCGGATTAAACTGCATGCCTGTGTGCCTGCCGAACGTGGAGTGGCGCTGGCAGTCAGCTGGACTGGCATGACTGGGAATGACTGGTTTGTTTCAGGGGCCACCACATGAGCTCGCCGAGGCTGTCTGTTGTGCGAAGTTCTGTTTTCGCCGGTTCATATCTGCCGACTTCCGCGGAGGAGTCGCTTACCCAACAAAGACTATTGAGTACTTGCCATGTAGCAGTTACGACATGGATTGCACTAAGATTGGCATAGCTGGAAGAGACATGCACATGCGACACTAGATGCAGGTTAGCTGTTGGGTGGGTGTGTCGGATCGGCACGGCTACCTGTCAAAGTGGGTGGCAAGTGTAGCAGGCGGTCAGTTGTCATCACTGTATTCCGCTTCTCGGCAGGAGCTTCTAGCAAAATTCCACCAAGCAGGGAGGATAAGCATAACCCTGGAGCACCCCACGTGCTGCCCTCAAGAGTTCCAGACGGCACATATAGCTTGTTCTTCAGACCTCCCGAGGTATCTATCTATCGCTTTGAAGAAGAAGAAGGGCGAAAAGCTGTTGGGCGTTGAAGTTGTACCTCAAGAGGGTGGTCTTGGAGTTGTCATCCTCAACCTGCAGGCGCTGTACTAGTAGTAGCAGATGACTTGCCATAGGTGGATCGGGCTTGATCACTCACTGCCGCGAGGAGGAGGGTCTGTTCCCGAGCTACAATGCCACTGCCGAGAAAGGGTTGCAGATCAAGGCCACGGGAAATCCTTTCTTGAGCCTTCTCAAATGTGCCAAGTGTTCAGGCCTACTCTAGTATCTATGCCATCAACGGAAAGGTGTGGCCCAGCCCAGAGCTCAACCATCCTCGGTACCATCTACTCCCGCTAAACTAGGACCCCGTGTTATCTCGATGCAATCTCATGGCACTCTCAGGTCTCACTCTTCTTCGCATGCTGCGGAAGCTTGAAGAGCTTCAGATCAGCTTGAGGACATGGTCATAAATTCCGAAGCTCGTTCCAAGTCGGTTCTGCAAAGGCAAGGCAAGGTAGTTCTGGAGCTTCATAGGATGCTTCCTCTCGGCCCCACCCCTGCTCAACATAGCACGGAACGAAGTCACCAAGTTCCTCTGCAGAATGCAGAAGGCAGCGAAGTGGCGCACGCGGGCAAAACGTGATCACTGGAAGCATGGTCTTTTCGTGTTTGTACCAGCTACCAGTGCCTGACCTTTCATCCGAGTGCCGGCGAACCTGCGTGTGGCTTGCACGTGTAAGCAATCAGGATCATTCGCAAAGCAACTCCAGTTTTCGTCTGCTTGTAGTAGTTTGTAAGGCGTGCAGGTGAGCTATCACCACAGTCCACTGTAACCCAGCCCCACATCACCAAAGAGCAAACTGCAGACATCTTCGCATCGTGTTTGTGGCCATGGCAAAGAAGCCTCCGAGCCGCTCCCTGATTTTGGCTTCAGCACAGGAAAGAGCAACACTTTGGAGTTTCATTGCGAACTGTAGCGTTGGCACCTCTGCAGTTCCAGACAATGTGATTCCGTTCCTTCGCATCACCGTGCCAGTGCCCCAGGGAGTACATGCTTGAAATGGTAGGCAAGGTCTTGGAATTCGCAAAGACTGCATACACTTTGTACCAGAAAATGCAGCAGGCAGGCAGGCAGGTGTGGCTGCGCTCCAGAGGTGTTTTTCGGAACTCAAAGCACGTCTTACGCTTCGCGATTGCCAGCAAGGATTGGTGATGCAGACAGCGGGAAGACTAGTCAGTGCCTTTGCGACACCCAACAACACTTGTTGGCAGTGTTGCGGTGCCGTGACGAGAGACTTACTGCGAGACGTTGTGAGGAATGTCGCGTGGTCAACGATGCATGCTGCGTTGCACAGGAGTCAACTGCATAGTCTGGCTCAGGCTTGATCAACGCCTGGCTCAACAATGCAGTGTCTATTGCAAACTCCTCAGCAGAGACATATTGCAAGACTGAGACCTTTGCCACCGAATTCTTGTGAAATGTTTTTGGGCCCACTAAGACTTACACTCCTACTCTTGATCCGACTCTGTACTACAGGACCCGGCTGCATGAGACGTGGCTCACGTGGTCTCACGTGTTCACAGATCTCTGTCTGATCAGGACGATGAAAATTCCGAATCCTTTGAACGAGGATGAGATGGTGACTGCCCTCGTCGAGTCCGCTTGACTGGTTGAATGTGCGTGAACGCTTCAAGCAT